TTTTTGCAAAATTTCATTATCTTGGCTTCTCCGATAGTTCGATTAATTGGTTTCGCAGTTATTTTCACGAACGCATTCAGCAGGTAAAAATCGGTGACATCTTATCACAGGAGGGTACTATCTCCAAAGGTATACCACAGGGGTCTATTCTTGGACCTCTTCTGTTTTCTCTTTATGTAGCGGACTTAGATAAATTCACTAAATACTGCAAATTACATACATACGCCGATGATACATAGATTTATCTATCTTACAACCCTGCTATGTACATTGAAGCGAATGAGATGCTGTCTGAGGATTTAAATAGTATATGTGTGTGGTATAACAAACATGTCTTATTTATTAACCCTAGAAAGTCGGCTATCATAACTATTAAATCTAAATTCAGCAAATTCAATAGTGAATTAATAAAGCTGTGTATTGGAGGTGATGAAGTTTGCCACAAGACATCGGTTCGCAATTTGGGCATCACGTTTGATGAGAATCTGTGCTTCCATGATCATGTCACCAAAGCTGTTCAGGGTTCCTATGCTAAGTTGAAGTCAATTTATAGCTATAAAAATGTATTGTCCAAGCAGACCAAGGTTAAGCTGTGTGACTCCCTTATCCTAAGTAAACTTGAATACGGGGACCTTGTCTATGATCCATGTCTAATACAGAGCGAGGCATACAGACTTCAAAAAGTGCAAAACAGCTGCATAAGATTCAGTTTAGGTATTCAAAGGCGGGAGAGGGTATCTGATCATATTAAAAATATTCAATGGCTTACTATGCGACAAATTTGAATACTGCATCTATTATCATTGGTCCACAGTATTATGATAAATAAAATGCCTCTTTATTTGAAGAACAAGCTTACCATGAGATGTGATCATCACTCAGCGAACCTGCGTTTTGTAGGATATACTCTTGACTTGCCTCGGCACCGAACAACCCAATTTAGAAAGAGCTTTTCATATGTGGCGCCCGATTTCTACAATAAAGTACCTCAAGCTTTGAAATCTTTATCTGTGTCCAGCTTTAAAAGAAAAGTTAGGCTCTTTGTCTTTGATGACATGTAGCAAGTATTTTTTGGTTTTTTTTTATGGATTTCATCTAGCATGTATTTTTATGTAATTTTATTTTTATATTTGTTTATTTGTGCATGTTTTCTCACTCGTCACTTTTCATTTGTTTGTGTTTTGCTTACACATTTGTTACTGTTTACTTTTAATTTTTATATCTTCCGCCATATACCTAATATTTTCTTTTTTTAAAGTTACTTCTAATCACGGTTTTTGATTCTGCTACGTACTCTGTTGCTGCACGTTTCTCTTTTGGTCTTTTGGTCATTATACCATGCTACGATTCTGTAAGAAAAATTTTTTTTCTGCTTTAAATGTTATCTTCAATGTATTTTTGTTGTATTTGCATGTACTTTAATTTTCATTTTTTAGCCCTGGTTGGCTCTGAAAAACAGCTTGTGCTGATGTAACCCGCCAGGTAAAATAAAGGCCATTTATTATTATTATTATTATTATTAACTGGAGAATGGTTATCTTTTTTTATTGACATTAAAATAGACGGTTAGAGAATTCATTATTTTCTAATAAAAACATCAGTTTTTCATTACCATGACATTTTTTTTGTTAGTCTTGCAGGTACAGGAAGTTCATTTGTGCTACTTAGTTTGGTTCGATTACTTATCACGAACGATCTGTGCGGTACTGGCAAAAGTGGTTGCAGCAGTACCTCAAATTTTGCACATCCTATTTCCTTGGACGGTATAGTTTTGCAATATTTTTACAAACTCCTAGAATTCAAAGGGGTCAACGGCCTAGAATATTTGCATATCCAGGTTTACAATATTTCTTATTAAATTAACGTCAATAAACTCAATAAACTGGTATCCCACTAGGTATTGTGAATTAATTCATAAACTACCACAACATGCCATCAATAACCCTACATACATGGTGTTTCACAACTTATCCGACAAATTTTAAACACATATGCACTGTTATGAAAGAAGTTGATTTCTCAAAAAAAAAACATGCTATAAAGGTCCTACAGAAATTAAGTTATAATCCTGAGCTTCAATAATAAATTGAAAAATAAATATCTGTATTTTGCGGTCATCGTCGTGATATTAGAACACGCATTAATAATTTATTGTAACAAACTGACGAAAACAAAATACCACAATTTTTTTGTTTTTTTATACTGATAAGAACGTGTAAATAAGGCTTAATCTATATCGTGGGTGATCTGAATGAAGAACGTTCGATTTGTGTGAAGTTAAATAAGAAAGTATTTTGCGAGTTTATGTTTTTAGCTATTTATTAATAAAAATGACACATGTGTACATTAATGAGGAGTTAGTGGACATTGTTTTAGCGTACGGAGAAGTAGGGAAAAATTCGCGAGCGGTTTTTCGTTTGTATGCACACCGATTTCCGAATAGGCACATACCACATCACGAAACATTTAGTTCAATTGTTTTACGTGCACGTGCTAGTGGCAAGTTTGGTCCTTTCAGAATTCACGCAGTGATCCAGACACACTTCCAGCATCGTTGTTCATTAAACGTGTGTGCAGGTATTGTCGATGAACGTTTTATTGGACCGTTCATATTGCCAGATTAGATGGATGATCACCAGTATTTTTAATTTCTTCAAAATGATCTGCCAGTCCTTCTTGAAGATGTGCCATTGGCGGTCCGAGCACGGATGTGGTTTCTGCACGATGAGGCACCTCCGCATTTTCGCTTAGAAGTTCGTGATTATTTGAATCAGGTATACCAGATACGCTGGGTCGCTGCGTCGCCTCCACGGTCTCCCGATCTTAATCCTCTGGTCTTCTTTTTATGGGGATACTTGAAAGACGAGGTATACCGTACTTCAGTTCAGAATATTGAAGAATTGCTTGACCGGACCACAGTGGCTGCCGATAATTTGAGCCTTCAGGCACAGCAGGAAGGAGATGTATTTGAATTAGTGCGCCGGAACTTAATTTGATTCGCCCAAGCTTGCATTGGTCAATGAAAAAATTTTGAACAGCTTTAATCAGTAACTGAACTGTTAAACTGTATTATTTTATTACCTTTTGTAGGACTTCTATTGATTTTTTTTTGAGAAATCAACTTTTTTCGTAACAGTGCATATGTGGTTAAAATTTGTCGGATAAGTTGTGAAACACCCTGTATATTCAATGACATTAGAAGTGTTACACCCAGAAAAAATAATTTATTCAACTTGATTTTTTGGCAATGACTTACATCAAGAACGAAACGACAACATTCTCACGAAATTTTATTGACAAGTAATAAGAAAAAAAAGTGATAATGTGTTGGGCGACTCCGCAGCTGAATACATTCCTGTATACGTCTAGGCATCTACAAAATGAGATGATCGATGTTTGGTTGTGGCACCTCATTTCAAGCAACTCGAACTTCGTGGACACATGTTCGATGGGACTTAAATAAGGCGAACGGGTTGGCCACGGCAAAACAATAACGCCTGCCTCTTGAAGAAAGTCCGTAGTATGACGAGCAATATGGGGACGTGCCTTGTCTTGCTGAAGAAGGACGAATGGTTGACCCATTAGATACGGCATTAAACTGGTTTGTAGGACACCATCAACATAACGCGTACTGGTCATATTAAGTTGAACGAAGAGAGCGGGTGATGGGCTACCATAGCCAATAGCCCCCCAAACCATCACTCCAACAGTCCTATGTACATGCCTTTCAACAGCAAATCCAATGTGACGCCATCCTCCACGGCAGCGTCTTACCCTTCTACGACCATCTTGCGTACCTAGACAGAATCGCGATGCGTTGCCGGAGATGACTATATGCCATTCTGCCTCCCAATCTTGCCGGTCTCTGCTCCAGTTCAAACGTTGACGACAGTGGTCCGCAGTCAGAGGTAACACTAACCATGAACTTTATGAAAAAAGTCCAAAGGCTTCTCCAAACCATTGGTCGGTGATCTGACGCATAGTAGCGGTCTCGTTGGGCTAGTTGTCTGAAGCGCCTATCTTGACGCTGTGTGGTACGCCTCGGTGTACCAGTTGGTCTTCTTCGTGTACTGTCATTGCACTACTATTAACGGCGGCCAATTTCGTGACAGGACAAACTAACATCTCGATAGGCATCTAATCTAGTAAATGAAAGAGCAATAACTGAAAATATCTATACTACTCAGCTCTCAGAAACTTCTTCCTCCATAAAGACTAAGAGATAACATTTTAACAAAGGTAAACAGAAGCTCAGATAAAACATTGACATTTTTGCCACAGCATGCTTTAAATATAGTCATTATGTTGCCAAAAAACAAGTTGAAGAAATTATTTTTTTGCTCGGTCTAATACTTCTAACGGCCCGTTCACGCATGGGAGTTCGTTTTACTGGTACGGTTTTAACGGATACGTTATAAATTTATGCTCTGTTTACACATAGGCACCGTATAACGTTCAACGGATCCGTCATTACTGGATGCGATGTGTGAACAGAAAACTCGCAGTATACCGCTGCTATTCTACAAGGATGGACGCTGTCGCGTTGTATTGGTACTATCGTCGGAGAAGGAAGATTCGACGTTATTGGCAGCCTCCACTTATGGCCCAAAGATCTAGAGAGAGTGCTTACAGTTTACTTATGAGTCAGTTACGAGGTGATGAATCGAAATTTTTCAATTACCTTCGTATGTCAATGTCTACTTTTGATGAACTTCTTAAACTATTGGAAAAGGATTTAAAAAATCAAGATACTCGTTGGAGGATAAGTATCTGCCCAGAAGAAAAACTAGCGATATTTTTTAAGTACGTACTTTTATTTTTAAAACTCAGACAGATCTAACGTAGCATCACTGTATACAGATTGTACTGTCGATAGTGCACTGGCTGTGGTCTGCTAAAATAGCCCTAATATTGATAGTGATAAGTTGCGATCATCCTGCTCAATTTTCTTCGGTTTTATCTGATAGTCAATGTAGGACATCATTTTAGTATCCATTTCATTAAAATTTCTTTTGGCTGGTGCTCTGCGTTTTGGCGGGGGGGGGCAGATTTTGTTTGTCCTTCTGACTGTCATTGTCAAGTTGTGTCATTGTAGTCACACTGTCATCTTCGTTTGTAGGTTCATTCGATGTCGTGGTGACATCTTCTGGGTGTTCTTCAGTTTGTTTAGCAGAGACTCTTTCGTGCGTTTCACCAGCAGCAACTACTTTTTTCAAAAACAGCATCTGATTATGGTATTTGTAGGGCTTCGTGTTTGAGACAGTGGAACCAGACGTCTTGCAATTCTTTCTATCTTTTAGTGTTCTCAGTTAGGCATCTCTCATCTGTCTCCACTTTTTTCATAACAAGTTTTCCTAAAACAAGTAATAAAACAATCAATTTTATTTTCAGGTATGAAGCATCCGGGTGTTCATTCACAGACTTCGTGAACTATTTCATGTCCGAAGCTGGATCAGTTCCATAGCAGGATGAAGCTATTTAGAATGTAATTAAATAATAAAACAGACACTTACCGAACTCTTGTCTTTGTCTTTGTTCCATAGCCTCAAAATCCTCCACTAGAATAACGCATATTTCGCGCCAACCTACAATACTTGCAGTATTGTCTTTGTATTTATCCAGCGTCTTGTCCCAAAGGACTGGCCTAACTTCCACCAAAGTAATTAAAATTTCCTTGTCTATTAACTTTTCCCACTCCTTGGTTGACATCGTTGATCAGTGATTATAATAATTATTACACACAATGCAAGCGCGCGTTCTCTATGAATGTACAATAGAAAATGCGATTCAAAACCTGTCGTATCACTCCCCCTCCTACACCCCGCACACACCGCCCGCCACGCACATACTACGTATCCGTATATTTTTACTGTTCCGTCGTCCAGTATTCGATGACAAAACGGAATGTCATATTTTAACGGAACAGTATTTTTTACTGTATACAGTATACTGTACCATGTGTGAAGTCGCTCATACAACTATATACGCCACCGACAAAAAAAAACGTATCCGATAAAACGGACCAGTAAAACGGAGAGCATGTGTGAACGGGCCGTAATATCACTGAGTATATAAATGAAAACGTAGACAGTGATGAGTAAAACACCAACCATTTGGTAATCGTTTTGAAGTCGACAAGTGATGTCAAAAACGCTAAGCGTGATACAAACGCGAATACCAAGCACACCGAAAGTAAATGACTTCATATAAGCTTAGCGCCTTAAAACGTTTTGCGTTCTGAAGAACGAGAATACCTGCCTAAGATTAATCTCGCAATATACCTGTTGACTGTTACTAAAAGGTATCGAGATAACATTGTTACCAGATACATTAATAAAAATATTTCCATACCATTGCCAAGGACTGGTGGAGACGTGACTCCTTTATGCTTCAGTGTATTTATTAACTTCATATCCTGCTCTGTATGAATCGGACTCAAAAATACGTACTAAGATGCATGGACGTATACATTCTCACGAATGTATATGAGAATAACTCGATCTATACACATCACCTATATTCGATCAGACGTAAAATAATATGAGAGTTTGAATATATAGCATGTCAGAAGTAAGGCACAACCGAATCTACTTATAGTGCAGTGTGGCATTTTTGGATTGAAGCCATGCCAGGGAATCACATACCCTTAAATACAGGGTGATAAAAAGAAACAGTGGCAATATCACTAGGAAGGCTGCATTAGCTGATAAGGCTGAGAATGCCGGGAGCTCGGAGCCCAAATGCATTCAGGTATCTGGGAGTGTGGGGCTCTAAAAGTCTGAAAGTCATTGAACAATAAGCCGCACAACCAACTGATCTCTGATACGGCTAATGTCACACGATGGGTGCTCCAATAGTGAGATGCTCCCATCTATAACAAGGTTCTGAAGAAAAATAAATACAGGTAGCTGACGTTCAGAAGCCAGCGAAAGGTAGTGCTGCGCTTAGTATGCGCTTACATAACAGGCCGATGCACTGCTGGTGATGGCTGGTATCCCGCCAATTCGTTTGCTGGCTGAGGGGAAACGCGCGCTCTATCGACTATCTTTATCTAGAGACTAAAAATATTCGCCTTTTGTCGGATGACAGGAGAGCTGGGATGCAATTGGCGATGGTTCATGGACTAGGAGGATAGATAGATTGCTATACTCTATCATGTTTGTTTTGACAGCTACATGAAGAGGGTAAGTAAGGCAGAGTAAGCGAACTGCGTAAATTGCGACGAAGTGGAGGACACTCCTAACCATCTACTCGAATGTGGTAGATGGGTTTACTACCAGAAACAGCTGAATGCACAGAAAGCCATTGTTAGTCTGCTATTTTGCTCTGTGATTAGCTGGCTACTATTTGTCATATGTTTGGGCGGTCCTTAGTACCATTGTCCACTAGTCACTGTCTAATGTAAGGTAGTCGAATCTGTCAGTCCAGGTTGACCAGAAACCAGAAAATGTCAAGGAAAAAAATGGGAATGAGCAGAAAAAAGAGAAGAGAAAGTAAACACAGAAGTGTCTCAGTTTAAGAGGAAACACCTAAGCTTTTTGACTTGGTACACGGATTAATTTTGAGGTGAACTAAAAACAAATTTTGATTCGGATTTTGTTAGAGCGTAATTTTGGGTTTACTGATTACTGATCACGGTGCGAGTCATGGCCTTGAATGTTTACGAACTTGCTCCACTGAGTCATGCAACAGAGGGTTGCTGTGCGATTCCGCTTGACTACAACGTCGCTGCGTCTGAAACTTTACATAACCCCTCAAGTAAGGAATGTCAATGTCTCTGTGTAGTGTCTCGTTTGAGACATACGATGGAGCGTTGCCAATTGTTCGTGAAGTCCTGCTTTGCAGTACTTGAAGGCTTTGCATGTGTGTCTTGGAAAGAAAAATCCTAGCCGCACATGCATAAGTAATGTCTGGTCTAAAAATCATTTTATATAGTCAAGCTTTGTTTTTAAAACTGAATTTGGATTTGGAGGATCGACATAACAAAGGGTATAGTTGCCGACAAGTGCAGCATCGTCAGCATTGAGGTAGACTTTACATTTGCTGGAGCAAGGGACGTTGTGGATCAAAAGCGAGTAAAGGATTGAACAGGATCGAGACCTGAGGAATATCGCCCGGACTGACCGTGTGGCTGACAAAATATTGTTAATTTTGATCCGAAATTTCCTCCCTTCAAGGATATATTTCACTAGTTTCGGAAGCCAAAGGGAAAACCCTTTTGGATTAAGTTTATACAGGAGGCCCGCATATCATACCTTGTCATAGGCTCTTGAGACATCCAAAAGCAAAATGCCAAAACTCATGCTGAGGGTGAATCCTCTGGTGACATGCTTCACCAGCCTGACTGCCTGTAGCTCGGTACTATGCTCGGACTGAAAATCGAATTGAACGTCAGGACTGACTCGGTGATCTGACGAAAATTTGTCAAGGTGACGATAAACCACCTTGTTGGCGAGCTTAGGAGCTGACAGCAGACTAATGGTACGGAAATCTTAAAAAAACATCGATCCCATCTTCTTTGGAAGTTCTGAATTCTGAGCATCGCATTTACTATTTCCACCAAATATGCCGGAGTTTTCGGCGAGAGCAGCTTCAACTCCTCGGTGGTGATTGGATGCTCCCCAGATGTTTTACGCACCATACTTGGCTACTATATGGGTCAACCATCTTGGTGGTGCCACATTTATCTGTGCATCGCACAGAACGACGAGCAGGTATGAGCCGGTAGAGAAGGGGCCTTCCATAATCTTTCATTGTATGAGATGAGGATGAAGATCAGCTTGGCAAACCATTGGCGGGTGGATATCATCGGATTCTTCGCCTACTTCTGCACCATATTATTCTAAAAAATATGTACCATTTTTGAGTAAAACATAATCTGTTATGAAACTGTCAAGAGGGAACTAATCTTACCTTCCTACTACTTTATTTGTCGAACATTCAGGTTATATCCTGAATGAGCATAATCAGTGTCATAGAAATGCATCTATACAGCGTATCCCACGTCGAGATGCACTTAATAAAATTTAGGTTTACAGCATAACCCATGGGAGCAATTTGACTAAAATATTTTCAAAATGGTGGCGTTTCCAGTTGTACCGGAAGCAGATACCAATTAGTTCATTTTAAATAGAACAGCCTATATGTTGTTATTTCGTTTTTGAAGTCTACGAGACATACACTCGAAAAAAGAGTGCTTTTGGTTCAATAGTAACTATCTTGAATTGAGAATCGTGACTTTGATATATTTCCATGACACATTTCTTTGAACTAAGGTCCTTTTCTTACTTTTTTGTGTGTATTTTATGTATATCGGTATTATCCTATGCCTAAATGACAAATATAAGCCAATTAATTATAAAACTTTTTCTCATATTTTTGTCATTGCGGTATGATTTGTATCGTAGGGGACCTAGCCATTTTATAATAAAGGAGAATGACGATTAGATTAAAGAAAAGCAAGTAATTTTTTTCAAATGGAAACCACCTCTTTTTATAATTTCAGCGTATTAAGCATTGAATCTAAGGTTAATTTTGTATAAGATTATCTGCTTCGCATATTTACCGTACTTTTACCGTAAGACAGTTCGCCGAAGCGGAAGTTGGGCGAACTACTAAGAATATGACGCTACCGCCGCCGCGTCATGGCCAACTGTGATGGTCTCATGATAAAAGCCGTATGAAGCATTTAGGCAAGAGATGAACTACTAGCTTGCGAAGTATACAACCTTATACAAAATGAACCTTGTTTTCAACGATCAATACAACAAACTCATTAAAAAATTGTTTGAAGAAATAATTCTTGTTTTAGTCTAATTTTCATTCTTTTTTTGATCTTACTGTATTATTTGTCGTTTTGCACTAGATCATCTCCGTGGGTGATGTAGCAAAGGGAATCTGCTCGCCGAATTTGGTCGCCAAAGGCTATAACCATTGCCTGTCAATGGGTAGCGCCATTTGTCGCAACCTTTGGATGTTGCTATCATACAAATATATTTGTGACTTGATCCATCAAGTCATTCAAACCTTCAAAATGCATATGGTGTCAAAGAAACAGTAAACTCGAAATTATGCCTTAGAAATAAACATCTAAGACAACAACACGAAAGTCGCCTAATTGCATTTAATAGTTACAAAAAAAACCTGTAACTGTGCAAAATTATTATTTCTTTGATTTTATGAACTCTCATGATATCCCCAGCCTGCACCTAAGATCTATCTTTCTACTACGTCACATACTTTATGTGTATAAATTGACCAGATATCCTAGGACATCCTGTATGTTAAATTGTACGATAAATGCAAGTACGTTCATGAAGAGATTGCCTACAAGCGCATTAGGTTAGCTTAACGAGATTTTCTGTTGGTGCTACTCGTCGGCCACATTATCTGATAACGCGGCCAACATGACTTCGGAATTCAGGAAGAGTGCAATTAGAAGGCTTATCTCTATGTACTCGTATGCTCGCTATGAAAATGGTGTATTACTTAAACGAGCTTGAGGAGAAGCTCCTCCTTACGAGGAAATTACAGTAAAGCTTGATGTCCGGGGATGGGTGGGGACTGGGTACTAGTTATGTGGTCTATTTGCATGTACGCATTTTTTTAAGAGGGGCTAATTTGTATCGAACATAATTTTCTATGCTGACAGCGCTGCGTGGGGAATGCAGAGTCAACATACTTGACTTCATTTTCTCTGTATAATTATTTGACAAGGGAGGAAGGGGGAATGTGAAATGGACTAAAATGCGCATAGATAAAAGTTACATATGATCGCTTTCAAGTA